TCTTTATTCATTTTAAAAAATGAACCCAAAACGGGAAGTAAAATGTAAAGATATTCGCTTATTATACCACTCTACAATTAAATAAACTCTGTATAACACTATAATGTTTCTGCTGTTGAAAAGGAAAAGGAAGGAATAATAAATACTTTAATTCAGTGTATTTCTGTCCAGTCAAGGTGTAAGTGCTGCCTGATATCATCATAATTAAAATCACAAAAGCTTGTCAGTGACTGCAGTGTGATGTCCCTGATTGGATGTTTGAATATCATGAGATAGTTGATGATAGAAAGTGTTTGAAACACAGTCGGCTGAAACCAACAGGGTTGAGCTGAGAGATGCATTACTCCTGTTGTTGCCACCGTCCACCAGCAGGGGGCGCGCTGTGGTAGCAGTTGGCTTCAACATCACTCACTGCAAAGACAGTTTAATACAGTACACTATTTACAATACAGCTTCAGATATTTTGTAAACTTGTTTCGATGCTTAATCCATGCTTAATACCACGCGTCATAATCAGTATTTACAGTTCACACATAGAACCCCGATCTCTGTATGGCAGGTCTGTCTACCTTTTAATATCTCTCTCTCTCTCTCGCACTCACTCGCACTCACTCGTCATAGGGAGGAAAAATATTCCAGATATTGTGAAATTAAATAAGTTAAATGACCTAAAAACGCCTGCATTCTCTGCTGCATTAAGATAAGTGATGGAACATACATTGGTCTTCTATCCGTAGTCACAGTGGTTTGGTTGAATTTTGAAGCTACTGTCCCCTACAGGCTGCCGTATCCAATCCCTGATGAGAAACGTAGCTTTACCTGATGTGACTTCAAGATCATTTTCAGTACGACAGATTAAAGGTGCCCCCCCCCCCGAAGGCCTCTGACTGAGAGACGAGCGCAGAATAAAATTACCCATCAGACTTTTTTCTACTTCTATTGGTCTTATAACAGAAACAAAAAAAAGTTCCATTTCATGTCAGCATTGTCTGATCCCTCAAGGTCTTCATGAGACGGGTGGGGGGGTACGGAGCCCGGGAGAGGCTGCTGGATAGAAACATCAAGGCGGGAAACGTTCCTGCAGGCGGTTTCTCGACCTCGTTCCCTCGCTTTGATTAATTCAACAGGACGAGGTACAAAACTGCACACGTTTCTGGAGTTTTGGCAACCAAATTAACACGAGACACCCCCCCTCCCCTCCCTCGTGCTGCAGGCATATTTTAGCCTATGCCGTGTGGCCAAATATTATGCAAACACACGTAACTGGATTTTAAATTCCAGTGGAGATCCAGAAGTTTCTAAAATGCCAGATAGGTCGGGATGAATATTCCCATTTGATGGGACGGTGCAGCCATAAAAAGATGGTAGAATAAAACTCTCTCCTTGTTATTCGACCACTTGAGGCAGACAAGACATGCACGGTGCAAATAAACTATGACTGGTGAATCACAGTCTATCAGAAACTCAAGTGCAACTAAACTCCTCCTTTCTTCTTCGATGAGAACTTCCGAATTACTCAACCGATCCTAATCGAGACACCGCTGGCTGCTAAAAGACGCAGCGAAATGAATTCACCTCTTAGGATTTAAAAATAAAGCCTTTCCCCTGCAGGGTGGCCTCTCCCGGCGCTGCAGATGTGTCACTTTACTGAGAAATGAAATGGAATTAAGCCAATGTTTCCCGGCTCGACCTCAGTGTGTAAACCTCTTTGACGAGAGCACCAAACGATCTTTATGAACGAGACGGAAAAGAACAAAGGAGGCAGTGCTGTCGGAGCCACCACTGTGATAAAAGTTTTAGCTTTTAAATATTTCACGAGTGAAACATCCCGCGGTGCCACTACAGCTGCTGTAAACAACTCTCTTCATCTGGTTTTACCTTGAAAGCTGTGAACACACCTGAGAGGGGAGCAACAGGAAGCTGCTGTTTTCTGATGGTACAGCTTAAATTAAATCCCTAAAAAGCTCAAAACCTTTATTTTCTAGCACAGTGTGGGAATCTTCACCTTTGATTCTGCAGAGAGGGTCGATTAGTTTAGTCTCAGGCCTCGAGGAGAAATATTTCAGGCTCTATTTTCCTTTAAATGAACTGGGAGCTGAATAATTACATCAGTGTTGTTGGTGTCCTGGAGTTCACAGGGCAAAAAAAAAAGGGGGGTATGAAAAAAGTATGGCAATCCACAGTAACTCCAGTCCTCTCTGTAGTGACGTCCACAAGCTCCATCAATTTATTTACAGCCAATAACAACTCAGATTTATTCCTTTGTCCCGAATAATGGAGCAGGGTTTCACATTGGATCCACCGCAGAGGGCACCTTAAGCGGGACGGTGAGCCGGGTTAATCCCGTCTGACGTGACTGGAAAAGGTCCATGTGCGAGCGAACCGAGGCTGACATCGTTGGTTGGTTGGTTGGTATCCAGGGCACGCTCGGAGGGGAGGAGGGATGTCCTACTGATTGGTATTCTTTGGCACCTGCAGGCCCGTCAGTAAGGTCACCTGAAAGGGACAAACAGAGCAAACGCTCAGCGAGATCGTCCCTGAGGGAGAGTGAGGGCACGCTGGGAGGAGATCAGACACGGGGTTTAAACTTTTTTTGAAACACCAGTGAAATAAAAATGAGATCAGAAGGGCTGACTCCATCGTTAATCGATGTGAAGAATCTTAGTCGAAACAGTTTTTATTAGTCGGACAGTCGCAGAAAATCAACGTTATAATCACCAAAGTATCCAAGGATTGTTGCAACACGGACCTTTTCTCTTGTAACACAGGGAGTCAGGTACAGGTGCACTGCTGCTATTTAATGCTTTTAATTGAAGTTTTGCATATAACAAAGAGAGCAGGATAAAATCAATTAGTATAAACTAATAAAACCACTATAAAAGGTCAAATAGTAGAAATTTAGGTAAAAGCCAAAGAACAGTGACGTTCCACTGAGCCCCAGAAAAAGATTTTTTAACAACTTATTGATGAATCAGTTATTTCACTGCCAAGACCGACAGTTTAAAAAGATACAACACAATTCAACGCTGCACTTTTTACATCGGTTGCTCTGAAGATTCGACGCTCTTTGACACTTCCTGTCTCAACATGGCAGCTCTGACATCAACAAAGAGTTCAACCCTCCCTCTTCCAATCTCTCTCTGTCTGTCTGCTCATTCATGCAATCACTGTCTCATACCTACATACACTGAAGATTACGTCATAGCTACCACCCCGACACACACACACACACACACACACTGACCTGTACGTTTCTGTTGAGGC